TAACATTTACAATTGTTATATCTTCTTGTTGGGTTGTTCCCTTTATCATTATGTAGTATCCTCTTTGTCTCTTGTTAGTCTTTTTTTTAAAAGTCTATTTTGTTTGATATAAGTGTTGCCCCTACCCCAGCTTTCTTTACACTTCCTTTTTCATCGTAAATGTTTTTCCATCCCTTCTCTTTCAATCTGCATGTGTCTTTAGGTCTGAAGTGAGTCTCTTGTTGGCTTCACCTTTTTTTTTTTTAAGATTTTATTTATTTATTTGCCAGAGAGAGAGAGAGGGACAGTACAAGCAGGGGGAGTGGCAGGCAGAGGGAGAAGCAGGCTCCTTGCTAAGCAAGGAGCCCGATGTGGGACTTGATCCCAGGACCCTGAGATCATGACCTGAGCCAAAGGCAGACGCTTAACCATCTGAGCCACTCAGGTGCCCCGGCTTCACCTTTTTATCTTTTATTTTATTTAACATCTTTAATTTTTAAAGATTTATTGTTTTTTTAGAGAGAGAGAGCACAAGTGGGAGGGGCAGAGGGAGAGGGAGAGAGAATCCCAAGCAGATTCCACACTGAGTGCAGAGACCAAAGCAGGGCTCGATCTCATGACCCATGAGATCAGGACCTGAGTCAAAATGAAGAGTCAGACGCTTAACCAACTGCACCACCCAGGTGCCCCGTGGCTTCACTTTTTTAGGCATCTGGTGTACTTGAGCTAAGGAATTGATCCATTTCTTCTAGTTTGTCCAGTTTTTGACATATAATTTGTCTTATTTTCTTTAATAATCCTTTGTATTTCTGTAGTGTCACTTGTTATTTCTCCTTTCATTTCTGATTTATTTGAGTCCTCTCTGTCCCTCTCTCTCTCTCTTTTTTTTTATGAGTCTGGCTAAAGGTGTTTTAACTTTTTATTTATTTATTTGAAACTAAATATAACACTGTATGCTAATTATACTTGAAAAACAATATCAGCTTTTGCTTGGCAAATCCTTTGAAACATTAATGTAATACTGGATTTCCCCCATTGCATACCCATGTAGTCATTCTTTTATCTTCAGATATTATTTCTCCTTTTCTCCATTTCTAAAGAACTAGTGGACTGTCTCTACCACTGGGCACTATAGCTGCATTCACATTTAACCCCATATTTGCCAGCTGGAATGGAAGCACAACCCACTCCATCAGGTCCTTAGAAATTCTGACCTAAAAGTTGAAAGTATAGTTTCTTGCCTAGGAATCATCTCTGCTTCTGATAATTATAGTTACAACTACAATTGTAGTTGTATGTAGTAAGAAGAAGAAAGTTGAGGTGATATGGGAAAGAAAGGAAAAAGTATAGCCATCATATAAGCATTCTCCCATTGTGGGAATAATTACATAGTCATAACCAGCATCTTCCTCACCCCCATTCCCTATTTCCACTGAAATTGCAGAGGAATTTACCTACTGTGGACACACCCTTTGCTCCCTTCATGTTGAGTGTCAGTACACACTCATGAAGGCTTGTAAGCAAGTTATTCATGCCTATATTCCCTTTCTCCTCATTTTAAATGACCATTGTTTTCATTGCCCATTCTAATTCTTTACCAAACTATTACTCTCAAAAAGGATCTCTCTGCCATTGTTGGACATGATGGGCTGTAGAGTGTGTTCCTTGGTCTGAAGAAATGTGATTCAGTGGTCCAAATCAGTGTATGGTCCAAATCAGTGTAATACCTTCTGCTCAGCTTCCTTGGTAGTACTCTAAGCCTTTGCATCTACCACCAGGTAAGAAAAGCTCAACCCAGAGTCAGTGTCTATTTCTGTCAGGACCCACTTGTAGCCCCCAGGCCTACAGGCGTCAGTCGGACTTGCCAGCTATGTACAAGGACTCCCCCCAGAGCATCTTCCCCATACCCATCTGCAGTCTCTAAATCTCTCTTGCTGGCAGACAGAAGAGTTCCTGTTGGCATTTTGTGCCTCTGCAGGTGCAAAAAGAATATGTCTAGATTCAACCCCTCTGCATTGTTTCAGTCCACTCGCTTCATTAACCCAGTGGCCACCTCAGGTGAGCACACCTGGGTATCTGCTTGTCAATTCCAATCATCTTCTGATGCTGGAAGGGGGTTCTGATGGGCATTGACATGGCCTACTTGAATGCACCCTTCAGGTTCCCATAGTGATTTCCACAGGGCCGTGCCCCGGAAGGGCACCCTTTTAATAGGCCAGTCTTCCACTGCCTTTCTGCCTGACCATATGGCCGGGCCATTGGCCACTGCCTATGAGTAGGTCAGGGTCCAGACAGAAGGGTAAACAGCATGCAGTGCAGCTCACCGAGCCAATTTGTTTTTACCTTTTTCAATCAGAGTGGTGGCCTTCCAACCCAGTGTCGTGTGTTCATGTTGAAACTGCCATCCATAAGCCAAGCCGCTGTTTGTTGGTCTGTTGGGAGCTGTTTACAGGCACTGTCCGAATGATGCTAGAATCCTGCAGCTCCTCACATGGTTCCAGAGTCATTCCTGGGGAAGCGAGTCGACCTGCTCATGAACATGCTGTGTAACTCCGTGCGTTGTCCTGGTGGTGTGTTCCTGCACACACCATTTCTGTTCTATTACAGAACTGCCCTCCTCGTTAGAGCGTTTCTCTGACATCACCCAAGATATCCTTACTTCGTGTTTTTCAGTCAGAGGCAGTTGCAATTAATGTCTGATAGCAAGCTAGTAATTGCTTCTCCAAATGGAAATTGCTTTGTCCAGAGTTCTAGTAGCTGTCACTGGGAGGTGCTCACAGACTTTTGTCATAAGCCCCAGTACACGCCACACAAGACTGCTTTATAGAGAGTGTATCTTTGTTAGCACTCCAGCTTCTGTTCTGTACCGTTTGATATAAGGCCTACATGTTCAGGCAGTCTCATTAGTTCCCATTTTGTATGTCCAGTTAATATTATTGGAGGGGTGGATTTTTCATGCCTTTTGTTTTACAATACTTGATAGGGGAAACATTCCCAGCTAGGCACAATATCCATCCCTATAATACATTCAGGTAAAAGAGTCACAACTGCTTCATATGAAGCTTCTTCAAGCCCCAGCAGAGTGTTGAGGCAAGAAACTCTGGCCCTTTCATCAATCCATATCTTGATAAATTGGGGGACCATAGCCCCAGGCAATTAGAGGTGAGGTTTCTTTTTGTTATTTTGCCATTTGGCTTTCCAAATTCCTCCAAACTAGGATGATTAAAGCAGATTTATTTAAAGGCCTTCAATGTTGGGGGACCAGCAGGAATTCCCATTGGTTCATCCAACCTCTATTTTTTTTTTACCCCATCAACATTTGCTTTATTCATCCCATTTCTTAGATTTTCACCTTACTGGGATGAGGACCTCGATGCTCCTCTCTGTCTATCTCTAATTATTTTTGCCTTTTTCATGATTTGTTTTAGCCTAACTTTTTCCTTGGGCAATGGCTCTGAGGGTAGGCCCTATACCTCAGGCTAACCAGAATCAGGATCTCCAACGTATTCTTTCAGTGAGAGCCTTGGGACTAGAGGCTGTAATTGAGACTGTCCAGAATCTGTATTTGGCCCATCTCTTGCTTTCATTTTACCTATTACAGATTATAATAACCACGGGATTGTATATTTTCCGTTTTTCTTATTATTTTGCATTTTCTTATGCATCTAGTGAGCCAGCTTCCCAGGAGATGGATCCATCATCTCAAAATTCCATAGGTAGCTTTTACCTCTCACAGCTGATTGCAGCTTAGCTGTTCCATATCGTGGGTGATCCTGTTGCCTCTAAGAGTCAGAGGTTCCTCATCCCCTGTTCTTTCATCCTTTCTCTTCCCAAACCACGTGTTTCAGTGAGTTAGGGTTGGTCCAGTGAATCTCACCCTTCCTGACACCAACTATTCCATTTTTACCTTAACTGGTGTATTGCAATCAGTTTATAATACTAACAACCTGTAGTTAGCACAGACCCCAGGGCTTAAAGGCAAAGTTCTCCTCAAGACTGCCCTCACTTCAGACACTAGCCACAGGTCTCAGGGAGCCCCCAGGCCAACCCATTTTGCTGGCTGCCTGGCTACAAATACAGGGACTCCTGTGGCCCCCTCAAGTTGGATAATTTACTAGAATGACTCACAGATCTCAGGAAGGTGCTATACTTAGAATTACAGTTTTATTATAAAGGATACACATAGGGTGAGACCTGGGAAGGAGCACAGAACTTCTGCACCTCCTCATGAAATCAGGGCACTTCACCTTCCCATTATATCAGTAGGTTCACCAATGAGGAAGCAACACTGAGTTTTTATAGGAGTTTTATTACATGGGCATGATTAATTAAATTATTGGCCACATGATTGAACTCAATTTCCAACCCCCCAACTTCTGTATCCCCAGAGGTCAGGACACTGAATATGTTTGGGCTTTCTGATGACTATCCCCCATTCTGAAGCTATCTAGGGGCTCACCAAGAGTCTCCCCTCTAGTATAACTAAGGCACTCCTAATCACTCAGGAAATTCCAAGGGTTGTTGAAGGTCCCTGCCAGGAACTCAGGACAAAAACCAGACAAATTACTAATTATACCACAGGAAACTGTGTACTGACCCCAGGGAACTAAACAGTACATAACACATCGCCTGGTATTATAGTAGTAGACACTTGACACATTTTTCTTTTGTGAAATATGATTGTCTGATGTTATATTCGTCCAAATCAGAGTTCTGAAAATTACAAATTACATCTAGATTTGGACTTGCCGTTGTAGATCTTATGGATCAACATAATATCTAATATCTAATAACTATTCTAATTAGGGAATATGTTTTAGGAAGAAGTATTAATTTCCACTGTTTTCTAAGAAAATGACCCCATTAATAAGTAGGAATTTGATGCTGTTGCTCTTCTGTGCTGGTAGATACTCTGTGGGCCAAAGGGTTAAATAAATTCTCATCAGGATAAGATAATCCATTGAAGTTTACCAATAAAAATTCTAATATAATAAATTAACAATGCTTTACTTTTTTTCAAGTAATCTTCCTTTTTGAGGCATCAACTGGAAAACCATTAGGCGATGGCAAGCTTCTTTCTCATAAGGTAATGGACATTAGCTACTTCTAATGTAAATAGCCACTACTTACTTCCTTTTTAAAATTAATGTTTTCATTTTAAGGCAAAAAACATAGAAATTAGTTTAGTTTTTTTAAGGGTTATCTGCAATAATTGCCTCAATCCTCCACTTTATTTTTATTTTATTTTTTTAAGTTTTAATTTATTTAATTCATTTTAAGTAATCTCTATAACCCAGCATGAGGCTTGAACTCATGACCCCAAGATCAAGAGTTGCATGCTCTTCCGAATGAGCCAGCAAGGCACCCCTAGAAATTAGTTTTATATTTAAACCCAGTGTGCAGGCTACATATTTTGCCTAAAAATGTCAGAAAGACTAAGCACTAGTAAACTCTGTAATGGAAAGCTATATATACAAATTAATTGGATAAAATAATCTGACTTATATGTCTTTATCCAGGCTGTTTACTGCTTTTCAATAAAATGTTCTATCTTGATTAAACTTTTAGCACCTATCAGTAGATAAAAATGTTTTGTATTTCTAAACATCTTGCAGTTTTCCCATTGACCTGTCCTTAGCCAGCATTTTCTTTAGGTTTCAACACTGTAGTTAAACTGAAAAAAAAATTCTATAGAAGTACAAAAAGATCTTTTTTTTTTAAAAGATTTTATTTATTTATTTGACAGAGAGACACAGTGAGAGAGGGAACACAAGCAGGGGGAGTGGGAGAGAGAGAAGCAGGCTTCCCGCCGAGCAGGGAGCCTGATGCGGGGCTCGATCCCAGGACCCTGGGATCATGACCTGAGCTGAAGGCAGACGCTTAACGACTGAGCCACCCAGGTGCCCCAGTACAAAAAGATCTTGAAGATGCTTATTGGTTTCTGATTTTTAGCATTGCAATAACAAAGGAGCACATTTTATTTATTCTAATGAGAGATATATTCAGGTCTAGATATATTTTTAACTCTGTTGTTCAATGCCACTAGTAAAGCGTTACTCTATATTTTCTTCTTTTTGTAATTATTAGTTTGAATTTACATAACATTACATTCATAAGGTTCAGAAATGAAAAAGCATAAAAAAGGATATACAGGGAAAAAGTCTCCCTACTACACCTGTTCCTTATCAGTATAATTCTGTTCTACCAAATAAGTAACAACCATTATTAAACTCCTTTTTCCTTCCAGAGATTTTTTAGTGCCTATATATAAGCAAAACTGATATATGTTCTTTTCCCCTTCTTTTACAAAAATGTAACATACAACTCTGTACGTTGCTTTTCTCACATAAACTATTCCTGGAGATCTTTCTATATCAGTACATAAAGTGCTTTCCCAATCCTTTTCTCCCCACCATACAGTATAACATTTTATGTGTGTATCAGAATTTATTTAACCTGTGCCCAAATGATGGACATTTAAGGTACTATTGTAACACCTTCAAAAAACAAAACAAACCCTAGCAAATCTAAAAAGAAAGAAAAAAGTCCTAGCAAGTCTTAAGACAGTAAGCAGTAAATAAATCCCTCTTGGATTGAGTTGAAATGAATCCACACTGAACCATTTCGAAGTTATAAGGAAACTCATTTCACTAGCTAGTATAGTAGTGTAAGATTAATGCAGTATACCAGAAATACTTTGTTATATGGACAGAACACTAATCTTAAAGTCAGAAATCTGGATTTTAAATTCTAGATATACTCATTACCAGTTTTTCTGAGCAAAATCACTTAATGGATATGCATCTCAGTCTTCTCATCTATCAAGTAAGTATAGGAATACTTACTTTACGAGGTAAAGTACCTTGTACCTTGTATAGTATAGTACCTTGTATCTACAATACAAGGTAGTTTCCTGTTTCACAGTAAATGAATGTGAAAGAACGTATAAAATTTAAAACCCTAAAAACATAAGATATTTTCATAAATCTACTCTTACAAATCTATAAACATAGACTTTCTACTTAGAGTAAATTTTGTTATGGAACTTATTAATTAAAGTAGACCTCTCTTGTGATATTCAGACTTGCCTCACCCTTTCACTCTGTCTACTAAAGGTAGAACAGGAGGACAGATAGAAATGTTTCTCAGCTTGGGGCACCTGGGTAGCTCAGTTGGTTGAGCTGAGCATCTGACTCGGTTTTGGCTCAGGTCATGATCTCATGGTCATGGGATCGAGTACCCCCCCGCCCCGCATTGAACCAAGTTGAGCTCCAAGCTCAACAGGGAGTCTGTCTGATGATTCTCTCCCCCTTCCCTCTTCCCCCACTGGTGCACTCTCTCTTTCAAATAAATAAATAAATAAATCTTAGAAGAAAAAGAAATGTTTCCCAGCTTACAGAGTTTCAAAAAAATACACATTATTTATAGTGTTTTAAGGGGCATCTTTCCCTTGTAAATTAAAAAAAAAAAGTAACTGCTTTAGCTTTTGAATTATATCAGTAGTTTAAAATTACTTAACAGGGACATTTTATCATTCCAAGTAGGGAGTGATATTTAATTGATCTTTAAATAAACAAATGTTCTTGTAATTGAATGATTTAAGTGATCTGATGTCAAGCACTAAAACTAATCGAGTATTTTCCTTTTTCTAAATTTTAGAATGAAATTTTGGAAATTGCTCTGGATCAAAAGGGACTTACCAATGATAGAAAAATTGCCTTCATTGATAAAAATAGAGATCTCTGTATCACTTCAGTGAAACGATTTGGGAAGGAAGAACAAATTATCAAACTTGGTAAAATAATTAGAATACATTTAAAATTTGATTACTTTGAATTTCCTTAGATCTACTCTGTCATATTTATACTAAATAGCATATTTACTTGAATTAATCTGTGAATAATGCTTTGGTCTTATAACCTTTCTTAACTACTTGACACCACTTAAATAGCAAGTCTTTAGCTGCTACAGCTACGTTAGCATTGAAAGAAAGACTTACAAATTAAAACATAATGGTTCTAGGTAAAATACTCAAATATTTCCATACATTTTTTTAAATGAGTTTTTGCACATTTTCACCATTATACAATTAGAAAATAGAGTCATACCTACCAGGAATTAGAAGGGGTCTTGTATGTCAGTTGATTTTTAAAGTATTTTTAATACTTATTATAGTGGAACTAATAGTACATTAACATTCTTTTTAAAATAAGGAACAATGGTGCATACTTTGGCATGGAGTGATACATGTAATATCCTTTGTGGACTTCAAGATACTCGATTTACAGTGTGGTATTACCCCAATACGGTTTATGTGGACAGAGACATTTTGCCTAAAACATTATATGAAAGGGATGCAAGGTAACATTTACTGTTGGAATTGTTTATTGTGATAAATAACTCTAAAGTGTCATGTTTTTGCTTCTAATTTCAATCCTGCAAGGTACCTTTCACTCTACCCAGTCAACGAAATTGCTCAGCTAAAGCTAGCTTAATGAGATTTAAGTTTTGGGGTCAAGTTGAAAGTGTTGTATAATACTATTATATTTATTTGTTCCTTCTATGGATATAATTTTCCTTATATAAATATAATTTTCAAGCCTACTGTTTTTTAGTGTAACTCAGGTAGTTTTTTTCAGTGCGGTTTAGTGATTTTAATATGGACATTTTTAAGATTTTTCAGTGATATGCAACATGTGTCAACCTTATTCTTTCTCAGATTATTATAACTTATTAATTATTATCATACAGGACTGTATGTGTCTCTAGAATTGAATTTTTAAATTAATATTAAAGATAGAAAAAATATATAAGGTTACTGAAGAGGTTTTTTTTTAATTTTACAGGCTTCAGAAAAAACATATATTTCTAAATTCTCTAAGAAATAACAAGATCTCTCACTCTTGACAAAATAAGAATACAAAGCTTCTTAGCTCCAAACCTTAACTTTCAAATCTATTTTGAGTTCATTTTAATATTCAGTTCGTAACTTTAGCAAAACCAGAGAGGCATCATTTTAAAAGTATTTAAACTAATGAAGAGAAGTTAATCTCTTAAAGTTCACCTCTTTTTATTATGAGAAAATAATCTTGGAATCATCTTAATTTTTTATTGGTTTAAACTTTCAAACATGAGCGCTGATTTTTTAAATCATTTGTGTAATTTACCTAAGACTTAGGGGAAAAAAGCTTATTTCAAATGCTTTTAGGCATAGCTCTCAAATATGTAATAGTTTTTGCCACAGTAAACTTTTTTATTTTGCTCCAAGTGTGTGGCAAGTTGGATTCGGATGTTTATTTAAATATATACATTCTCCCTGGAGTTAACTTTTTTGGGGGTGAATTTTGGAGATTTGGAGACTTTATATCTATGTCAAGGGTCAACTCCCCAAATTTAGTATATATGAAAGATTTTGCTGAGAACAGAAATTATACTTTGCTTTTTTCCAACAGTGAATTTAGTAAAAATCCCCATATTGTGAGTTTTGTTGGAAATCAAGTAACTATAAGAAGAGCTGATGGCTCACTGGTTCACATCAGCATATCACCATATCCTGCTATTCTCCATGAATATGTAAGCAGTTCAAAATGGGAAGATGCTGTAAGACTTTGTCGCTTTGTTAAGGTACTTTACATTTTAGATCCCTAATTGTGTATATATTGTGTATTAGTTTACACGTATCTTTGTGCAAGATGAGAAATGGTAACAGCTAAGGCTGGAAAAATTGCAAATGAGATCATGTCTCTTTTTAATAAGTGAAGACATAAGCAATACAAGGGGATAGATATTGCTGTGTGATTTATTTTTGAAGAAGCTATAATTTAAATGAGTAGTTTCTCTATACTGGCACATATAAAATCTTCTCTGGAACTTTTTCTAAAAAGTCAGATTCCCAAGTTTTACCCCCACAGAGATTCTAATTTATTCAATCTGGGATGAATCCAAGGCATATTTTTTAAATTCCTCAGATGGTTTGTACACCTAAGGTTAAGAACCTCTACTTTAGATCAGCATTTCTCAGCTTGGTTGAATCTAGTTTTTTCCAGGCATATTTGACCACAGAACTTTTTAATTTTACATGGCTTAGCAGTCCTTAGAATACACTTTTAAAATGACTTTTAAATGGTTTCCCTTACAATAAGTTGTTGATGGCAATCTGCGATAATAGCATTGTCTGAGAACCTCACTATTTCTCTGGTTCCTTGTAAGTTACATTCTTTGACCACATCAAAAAGCCTGGAGGGTTTATAACCTTTAATTATCTTAAAAGTATGTCAGAAGTTCAAAAATAAATCTTTGATAATTAGAAATGAAAATTGGAAGAAATTTTATTCAAAAAAATTTCTTCATTTGTTATTAATATATTTCAACAAAGTAGTCACATGAAATTTCCACATCATTAATTAATTAAATTAGTAGTTTTTTCAGTGCCATGCTCAGCAATGTCTAATTTTTTCATTAAAATGTAACCTTAATGTATTTTTTTTTAAGATTTTATTTATTTATTTGACAGGGAGAGAGATAGCAAGAGCAGGAACACAAGCAGGGGGAGTGGGAGAGGGAGAAGCAGGCTTCCTGCCAAGCAGGGAGCCCGATGCAGGGCTTGATCCCAGGACCCTGGGATCATGACCTGAGCCGAAGGCAGATGCTTAACGAGTCAGCCACCCAGGCACTCCAGTTTTAATGTATTTTAAATCACTGCTTATTTGAAATAATTGTTCTCCTATTTCACTTTAGGAGCAAACCATGTGGGCTTGCCTAGCTGCTATGGCAGTTGCTAACAGAGATATGACCACTGCAGAAATAGCCTACGCAGCAATTGGTGAAGTAAATAATGTTTACTTATCTGTATGTTTGTGGGTTTTCTTACCATAATTTGTTATTTTGCTGTCACTATCCACTTCATATATATTTTTTTCTTTTTTTAGATTGATAAGGTTCAGTACATTAATTCTATAAAAGAGCTTCCATCTAAAGAATCAAAAATGGCTCACATATTAATGTTTAGTGGGAACATACAGGAAGCTGAAATGGTACTTCTTCAGGCTGGCCTTGTTTATCAAGCAATCCAGATCAATATTAATCTCTATAACTGGGAAAGGTAATAAAAATGTTTTTCATCAATTCTAAAACCCAACTGATCTTAATGTATTCTTCTATCTACCACTTGGTAAATTACATTTTCCGCTGTACTTAATAGTTTCCTAACATCACAGAAGAATTTATTCACATTTCTATTTATGAGGAGTTTGCCATTGAAGATTTATGCCTTCTCTAAACTTGTGATTGATTAGAAGTTGAGGTGTGAAGAAGAAAAAAGAGCCTAGGATGTCTCCCGAATTTCTGATTTCAATAACTAGGTAGATGATGGTACTATTAGCAGATCTGGAAGGGAATATAGTGAATTCAGTGTTAGGCATGTTGGATTTAAAATATTTGTGAAGAGATAGATATGTGATATTAGTTGATTAATGAACCCGGAGCTCATGAGAAAGATTTGAACTGGGGATGTAGATTTAGGAGTCATCAGCAAATGGATGGCAAGTAAAACCAGAAGAATGGACGCAGTTGCTTGGGAAATGTGTGGAGTGAGAAGACATCAACTACATTTATGGGGTGGGTGAAAGAAGAAAAATCTGCTGAAAGATTGGGATGAAGCAGTCAGACTGGCAGAGAGAAGCAGAGCCATGAGAGGTTTGTGATGCTAAGGAAGAAAGGCTGTAGGATTTGAAATGAGGAGTGCTCAGTAGTAGCCTTCTCCTCGCATTAGGCTTCGACACAGATTGCTTTCTGAAAGAGTGGCGTGCTGCTCTTCTCTATGACATAGGAGGTTTCTCCCCTCATTCTCTCAGTTATGTGTCCCTCGGTGAAAAAGCCTGTAGGATTTATACACACCTGAAATTACTATGTTATAAAATTGGCATGCTGATTTTTCCAGGTTTGAAATGTCTTTCATTATCTTTGTCTCTCTCGACCCCTACCCACCCTACCATTTTTTTAAAAAGCAGATCCCAGTCATCAAATCACTTTATCTGTAAATATTTCAGTATGTATCTCAAGGTTTTTAAAAATCTAGCCACAGTACCATGGTCACACTTTAAAGAGTTAACAATAATTCTATTCAGTGTTCTTATTTCTCTGATTGTCTCATAAATGTTTTGTTTTGTTGTTTGGTTGGTTGGTTCAGGATCCAAAGAAGGTCCATACATTATGATTGATTGATATGTTCTCAAGCTTCTTTTAATCTATAGGTTTTCCTCTTTCTTGTGTTTTCTTGTAATTTTCCCACTGCAGAGACTGGGTCAATAGAGTTTCCCATAGTCTGGATTTTGTTGATTACATCTTTGTGGTGTCATTTGACATGTTCCTTTGCCCCTTGGATTAGCCATAAATTGTTGTTGAATCTAGAAACTTGATTAGATTCAGGTTTAACTTTTTTTTTCCTTTTGGTAAGGCTCAATCAGAGGTGGTGTTCAATATATTTTCACAGTGACTGGTTGCCTATCTTTTTCTGTTATTAGCAGCCACTGATGATCATTGCCCAGATCCATTAATTAATTAGAATTCTAGGAAGATAGAATTTAAGTATTGGATAACAAATGTATTATGTTGCTTTTAAGATCCCTGAATTTCTATATTTGTTTAAGTCCTTTAGAAGGGAACAGATTTCATATTGGTTTTTTTTTTTAAGATTTTATTTATTTATTTGAGAGAGAGAATGAGAGAGAGAGAGAGCCTGAGAAGGGGGAGGGTCAGAGGGAGAAGCAGACTCCCTGCTGAGCAGGGAGTCCGATGCGGGACTCGATCCCGGGACTCCAGGATCATGACCTGAGCCGAAGGCAGTGGCTTAACCAACTGAGCCACCCAGGCGCCCCAGATTTCATATTGTTAATATGTGTTATTCCATTTGAGAAGCACAGTTCTGCTGGTTTGTGCTTCTGTCATTCATATTTGAATTTGAAAATTACCTGCAACTGGGCACCTGGGTGGCTTAGATGGTTAAGTGCCTTCGGCTCAGGTCATGATCCTGGGGTCCTGGGATCGAGACCCACATCAGGCTCCCGGCTCAGCAGGGAGTCTGCTTCTCCTTCTCTCTCTGCCTCTCCCCAGCTCATGCTCTCTCTCTCTGTATCTCTCTGTCTCAAACGAATAAATAAAATCTTTAAAAAAAGAAAAAAGAAAAAGGAAAATTACCTGCAAACTAATAGGTTACAGCCCTTGAAGAGTTGTAGGTAAGCAAGTCATCTATGTGATGTTCACTTTGGACATTTGGTGGTAGTCTGTTCTCAAAAATTGAAGTTAAGAGAAGTAGAAACTTTATGTAAGTATTAATAAAAAATAATTTCTCTACTTCTACCAGTTATATAAAGTGATTTTGCTTCATTCAAGTTATGTAAAAGATCATATTTTGAAGTTATAAAATCTTTTTATATAACTTCCTTCTATTTTAAATCAGAGAGGATACATGGATTTATTCCAGCCCCATAATCTAATGTCACATTTGTTTGGTTGCCAAATAACCATTTTAAAGCTAGAGACATGCTGTTCCCATAACCCTTATATAATTGGAATGAATTCCTTCTCTGTGTGATAAACATTTTTTACCCAGTGTATGCTTTTAGAGAACATTTAAAATAGCACATATAATTTGAATGTTTACCTTTAGCTATTGCTCTTCAATCAGATAATGCATATTTTATAATAATAATGACTATCATATAGATAATACTTAGCATCTAGTATCTAAATGCAGTATTAGACATCAATTCTGTTCTTTCTACATAATTAAATGTACTGATGTTCCATAACAAATTATCTCTTTGGAGATAATTTTCTTTCTGAAAAGTCCCAACCCAGAATAGATGCTTACGTATTCCCCACTTGGAATACTTCTGGTTTTGCACAACAAAAATTCCTTCTCCAATTGTGTTCAGTCATAAAAAAGGAACAGAAAATGGCATATTTCAGGTGCCAAAGGGCTGGTTCACCAGAGTCTCCACTCACACAACCACACTGGAGTCAGAGCCTTAAGGATATATAAAGGGTGATATGGGACAGGATTAGAAGGATTAAAGCATCTTTACTTCTATTTCTCATATTTTGAGCCTCTGTGATTTGGTTTTTGCCTTCTTGCATTTCACTTTTGTTCCTCTATGTTGCAGTACTTCTGCATTCTTTTCTATGTATCCTCTTTTTCTCTGAAAGACTTAAAGTCATAGGGGAATGAGGGAACTTTGTGAGGAGTTTGCGATGGATAGTAAATACTGATCCTTGGAGTTAGCCATATGGTTTATGTAAATATATTTTGATAAGAAATCATTGTGCTGAATTTCGGCATTATCATTTGTATTACACATGACTTATATTCGTAATTTTTATATTAAGTCTTTAATATTTTTCTCAGTTGTCTACCAATTGTCAATTAATGCACAGGGCATATCTAAAATACTTATTAGAGTGACTATTTAGGTCAAACCAAAGCATACTAAGAATGAAACAGATTGTCCTACTGAAGGGTCACATGTTGCAAAAAATCTAGTCAGTAGTCAGTATTGTCTAAAAGAATTGATTTACAATAGTTGGCTCTGATAAATAAATCAGGACTGGCCTATTCAGAAGTCATATGTCATATTAGAAAGCAAGGAAACTTGAAAAAGAATGTGCTTTAACATCATACTTAAAAACGAGATTACAGGGCACCTGGGGTGGCTCAGTCGGTTGAGCATTTGCCTTCGGCTCAGGTCATGATCCTGGAGTCCTGGTTTGAGGCCCACGTTGGGCTCCCCGCTCAGTGGGAGTCTGCTTCTCCCTCTGACCCTCCTCCCTTTCGTGCTCTCTCTCACTCACTCTGTCTCTCTCTAATAAATAAAATATTTTTAAAAAACAAGATTACCGTAAACAGTGTAGGAGAGCTATACTGTACTGGATTTTTCTGATTCAACTAATATGAGTTATGCACAGGATCATGGGCTGAGATGCTGTCCAAAACCTACATACACAAATAGGCTAAGAACTGAGGATTAATCTTTTCATTTCCCTCCAAATTATCAATATATAGATTTTATGTCTTTGCTATTATACCACTGATTTCAGTAATTCATTTAGTTCTTGCCTGCTATTTAAATAAAATATTACCTTAAAAATAACTTAGTTATATTGATATATATTAATTGGATTATAAAATTTAAATGACTATTAACTTTTTCTAAGAATCAAATGGCAAAAGGCGTTTTGTCAGATTTTTATTATCTACAAATTTTAGTTTTATAATATTTTAAATTTGCTGTATTATAACATAAAGGATATCAGTATTTAATTGAATATTGAGCAGAATAAACTTAGACTTTAGATAAATAAATTCTAGAACAGAATGAATTATAGACTTAAAAAAATGGTCAAGATAGTTAAGCCACTTACATAGGGGGTAAGTTCATTCATTTGAATTTTATTATGATTTCAATGAATTTTTCAGGGAACATTGACCATACATATACTCTGGAGTACTCACCAAAGAGAAATGAAACCCAGATTTCCCTTCAATAAATGGATAGGTTGTGGAAGAGACAGACTCATAAATAATAATTATAATATACTGTAAGCAGTGCTGTAGGAATAATAGTATGCGTAAAATGTTAGGGAACACAGATAAGAAAATGGTCATTTATTTCTACAAAGGAAGTTGGTCAGGGGGAAGAGATCATGTTTGATCTGAACCTTGAAGTGTAAGTAGGAATTTGCAAGATGGGTGAGGTAGGGAATGGTGTTCCATATTGAGGGATGAGTGGGGAGGGACCAACACAGACCATTTGTTCCACTCTCTTATCCCAAAATTCTATGAGGCTAATACAAGCAGTGCTGATAATCTGTTTTGTTTCTCATTATAGGGCACTTGAATTGGCTGTAAAATACAAAACACATGTTGATACAGTTCTTGCTTACCGTCAGAAGTTTTTGGAGACATTTGGTAAACAGGAAACTAATAAACGATACTTGCAGTATGCAGAAGGTGTAAGTATTATACAGTATTTTATGATAATGTATATGCTTTATAAGTATACATATTTATCTTAATAAGACAAAATTGGAATAATTCATACCATAATCTCCAAAAAATAACTTTTTGCCTTATGATATTACAGTCTTATTTTGACTCTATAATTATACTACTGATTTTTTTCTGGAATCTTAAAGCCATGTGTTTTTTTGTGTTTTTTTTTTAAGATTTTATTTATTTATTTGAGAGGGAGTGAGAGAGACAGAGCACAAGCAGGGGGAGGGGCAGAGGGAGAAGCAGACTCCCCCCACTGAGCAGGGAGCCAGCCGCAGGGCTTGATCCCAGGACTCCAGGATCGCGACCTGAGCTGAGGGCAGACGCTTAACCAACTGAGCCACCAGGCCCCTTAAAGCCATGTTTTGATTAACTCAAGTCTGTTTTCATTATATTTAATTTGTATTAAAGTTGGGTGCTAATTGATATTTTTATATAAACAATATAAATGGCTGGGATAAAGGTTTCTAACTCCTGAATTTCCTCTTCCACCAGCTGCCCATTCTGCTCCAGGGGAAATACATAAACACCTAGGGCATTGGCCAGAAAATGGATACTTTGTCACTTTGCAAAATTCTAGGGAGCTAGTTTGCACCTGGAGAAGGGCCTCGCCCAGGGAGACTTCACTGCCTAGAACCAAAGAAGGCTAAACCTTTGCCTTTCAAATCCCTACCCGAATCTCAGGTTTCATCACTGTAATTAGAAGAAAATCATTCCAGTATATAGCAGCCCACAAGGAGAGGTGGAGCAGTTTGCCCAAGTGCCTAGAGCAGGACTATTGTTAGCCACCTGCTTAGATCCACCTAGGCTCAGACTACAGAAATAAATAGTTCATCTCTAGCCATGCAGACTCAAGAGCCTTGTAATCCCAAGACAGGGGCAGCCTTGCTCCAAATTCTGTGAACCAGTTGATTTGCTTAGCCTTTTATTCATTCATTTATTCAAAAAAATGTTTACGAGTGCTCACTCTGGGCCAGGTACTATGCTGGATGCTGAGTCAGATATGACTTCTGTTTTTGTGGAGCTTGTACATGATGTGGGAGTGCTGCTTCTTGGAGACAGAATAAAATGGAATGTTCTGACCTGTCCTAAAGAACAGGGTAAATTAGATGAGTCCTGGGAAGAAGAACAAAGGTAGGGAGAAGGTATCTACAATTTCTACTAAAGCCAACATCATCCATTTGCCATATGACTTGAGAAACTCAGTCTTTTCCCTGTTATATAGGTTAAAACACAGTTCTTCCCTACTATGAGTCATTCACCTGTGAGTCTCCTTTACTGTTCACACAGAACACTTCACTTCTGATCACCTAATGTGTGGAGGTTTTTTCCCATGCTGACAAGCAATTCTCCAACACCAGCTGGGTGTCCTACAATTTAACTCAACTCTGACACTATCTACCTGGAGATAGCATCAGATTCCACAGGTAGAGGGCTCAGTCCCACAAGATTGCACCCCACCGCCATCAGATGCCGGTTGCAAGCCCAGGTTATCACCTGTGCTTCTGACTGACCAGTTATAGATCAGAGATCCCAGTAACCCCCGCCTTAGGTTTCAGATGCCAGTCACAAGTCCAGGTTGTTAGCTGCACTTCTTACTGACTGGCTATAAATCAGAGGTCCCATGTCCCCTTTGTTTGATTAATTTGCTAGAGTAACTCACAGAACTAAGGGAAACATTTACTTATGTTTATTTAAAACATAAATTTATTAAAGGACACAGATGAACAACCAGATGAAAAGATACTTAGGGCAAGGTTTGGGAAGGCCCTAACCTCAGGAGCTCCTATCTCTTTGGAGTTGGGATGTGTCACCCTCCCAGTGTGGATGTGTTCACTAACCCGGAAGCCCTTTGAAACCTGTATTTTGGAATTTTATGGAGGCTTCATCACATAGATGTGATAGATCATTAACTCCATTTTCAGTACTTCTCCTTTCTCAAGAGGTTGAGGGGCAGGACTGAAAATTCCTAGCTTCTAATCATGGCTTGGTCTTTCTGGTGACCAGCCCTCATGCAGGAGCCATTCAAGGACTTATCTGGAGTTGTCTCTCTCTTTTTTTTTTTTTTAAAGATTTTATTCATTTATTTAAGAGAAAGAGAGAGTGAGAGAAAGAGAGAGTGCAAGCAGTGGGGGGAGGGGCAGAGGGAGAAGCAGACTCCCAAGGAGCAGGGAGCCCGAAGCGGTCCTTGATCCCAGAACCCCAGGATAATGACCCGAGCTGAAGGCAGGCGCTTAACCAACTGAGCCACCCAGGCGCCCTGGAGTTGTCTCTTTAAAAGAAAAGATGCTCCTTTCACTCAGGAAATTACAAAGGTTTCAGGAACCCTGTGTCAGGAAGCAAGGTCAAAGACTACATATTAGAACAAAAGATGCTCCTAGTGCTCTTATCCCTTAGGAAATTACAAGAGTTTCAGGAGTTCTCTGCCAGGAACTGGGAGCAGAAACCAATATATATATTTTCTATTATCTCACACCATATTTAAAATACTGAGTGTCGTGATCTACATTTTTGCACTTCAAAACAGTTGCAAGGTAGTAAAGCCTTTGGGGCCATTCTTAGAGTTTCTGGATGCAATTTCAACATCTGGATCTGGGATAGACATGAGTTGTCTATTTCTTGGTAGGAAGCAGTGTATTTTTTTTAAAGATTTCATTTATTTGAGAGAGAGAGAGAGAGCATGAGCGGGGGGGAGGGGCAATGGGAGAGGGAGAAGCAGACTTCCCGCTGAGCAGGGAGCCCGACGACATGAGGCTCAATCCCAGGACTCCCAGATCCTGACCTGAGCCGAAGGCAGACGCTTAACTAACTGAGCCACCCGGGTGCCCAGAAAGGGGTGTATTTTATAGATGCTCCACAGACTTTTTGTTTCATTTGGAACTTCAGTCCTGAAAATGAATCCTCTGAGAGTTTGGGCTGTGAGAGCTTACTCTACTATTGGGACAAACTCAGGGTCCCTGGGACCTCCGAGGACTACACTCTAATTCACAGAATATGACAGTAGCCACCACCACTACAGTGCTAAGCAGCCCAGAGAATCACCGATCACTTGATCTTTTTATCATAGTTTTGAAAATATGATGATATGTTAAAACTGAGCACCCACGTTAAATTTACTTTATTGCATAATTTTTAAGCAGATTCATCCTACTCTGTTTCGTCTTCATTATCCTTGCCATTAATATTTTTTTCAGTATTTTCACATTAGGTGCTTTGGAGGACATAGAAAATATAATTCTTACCTTCAAATTTTTAATTATTATAATTTATATTATAAAGATTGCATTATAATTAAAATTATATTTTAGAGAGCAAAAACTTAACATTTTTATCTTCTTTCTTATTATCTATGTATTCAACTGTTACCAAAATGTAATACATCAATCACAAGAGTGGCAGAAATCTTCCAAATGAGATAACTAGAACAACCTGACTTTTTGTTATTTTGAGGGCTTTTTTTTTTTTAACCCTGAAACTATATAGGTTACCTTGACTCCCCATGGTCCTATGTTCTAGTATCCTCCTTTTTTTCCTCATTAATGTAATTTGGAAGCTAACTAGAAATTACAAAGTAGTATTTTTTTTTTTTAAAGATTTTATTTATTCATTTGAGAGAGAATGAGATAGAGAGAGCATGAGAGGGAAGAGGGTCAGAGGGAGAAGCAGACTCTCCGCTGAGCAGGGAGCCCGATGCGGGACTCGATCCTGGGACTCCAGGATCATGACCTGAGCCGAAGGCAGTCGCTTAACCAACTGAGCCACCCAGGCGCCCTACAAAGTAGTATGTTAAGATGAAAATTATTTTTAAAAATTTCCCACTATTTATCTAAGCCAAAATTTTGATTATATAAACTTTTTAGTTGAGAATTAAGAGTTAAATAGAGATCATTTTTAAAAACTGAGAAATTAGGGGTGCCTGGGTGGCTCAATCAGTTGAACATCTGACTCTTGTTTTCAGCTCAGGTCCTGATCTCAGGGTCATAAGATCGAGCCCCACAACAGGCTCCTCACTGAACATGGAGCCTGCTTGAGATTCTTTCTCTCCCTCTCCCCCTCCCCACTCTCACTTTCTCTGTCTCTCTCACACACACACAAAATAAATAAATCTTTTTTAAAAAACTGAGAAATTTGTTCTGGATATGTGGTGAATTCTGGTGGGCTCACAATGCATAATGTGAAACCTTTTAAGTGAAAAGTTTCATATACATTTGTCTTTATGAGCTCTGAAATGTTATTTGGGCATTTCTAGTTTAAAATATGGAAACCTGGGATTTATACAAGATGGACTGTCTTCTAAGACCCCAACTAGAGTCATTATACCTGGTCTACAACAGTGTTCAGTAAATATTTGTAAAATAATTTGCAATTCTGGCAAATAAAATTCACTCTACCGAATATATTCTATACAAGAAGAAAAGTAGAAAAACCAGGAAATGTTTAAAACATTATTCCAGGAGAGAGAAAACAGTGGAAATACAAACAAACCAACAGCTTGGGAGCAGAATTTCAGAAAGTAGAGAATTTTGAAGAAGAGCCAATACTGTAGTTCAGACAAACCACTTTAGGCATAGCTACTACTTAAGCTCTTTTGCAGGTTTTAAGTCCTTATAATCTTATGAGGTCCTGAGACACAAAACCTAAGAGAAATTGTTAGGTGATAGCTCATCTGCTAGGTAGTTACCTTTTATTCATTCAATATTTATTGAGACTTTTGGCAGACAATGTACTCCCCTTGCTACTTTGAATATAAAAGTAAACATGGCAGACACTGACCAGGTAGGAGATTACTATAATAGTTCCACCAGGAGATGGAAAGGGTAAGATTAATGTAAGAAAAAAAATCAGTTGTAAAATCGAGAGAACATTGTGCTTGGGGGTGGGAGGAGAGGTGGTTAAGTTGACTAGGCAAGACATTTGAGAACAACTTCATTTCTAGCGTGGGTGACAGTAGATGGGGAGGGATACCATTATCTAGATAAGGAACATGAGACTATACAAGTTTTAGACCTTTTGAGTTTGAATACATGAAAATATACATTTTTTTGTTTGAAGTCCCTGTGGGGTATCCAGATGGAGATATCTAATGGGCAATTGGAAATATAATTGTGAACATTGAAGGAGTAATCAGGACGTGATAAATAAATTTATGGTCATGACCCATGTAGGCATAGTTGAAGCTATGTGAGTTGGTATGATCTCCTAGGGAAAGTATAAAAAAGTTGTGGTTGGAACGCTGGTGCATATTAACAGTTAAGAGGTTGTTTAGGGAAAAGATACAGGAGAAAAAAAGACTGGGAAGAACATTTAGAAAGGAGACCAAATCAGAAGAGAATGGTATACAGTCTGAGAGATTTTTCAAAGAGCTGTGGTCAACAAGGTCCAGGGAATGCTTCTACATCAGGACCTTTTTCTTCCTTTTGTCATCATGCTCTTCCCCAGATATACCCATGGACTCACTTGTCTCTTGTAGGTCTTCACGTCAGCTTCTCAGGGAGGCCTTTTCTTACCACTCTATTTGAAACACAATACCCATTCCCCCCCAACTCCACCCCTGGCATTCACTGTTTCCCTTCCCTGTTTTCAGAACTCTTGCCACTTCTCACGTTTTAATATATTTTTATATCTTCCACTGTTATCTTTGCTTATCTTTCTATGAAGCCTGTGATTTTTATCTTTTTGTTCACTGCTGAATCCTTGCACCTAGAACAATCCTTGGCATATAGTAAGCACTAAATATTTGTTGAAGGAGTCATTGAATCATATATAGGATGAAGACTAAAAATACTTGATGGTGGCATTAGTGAAAAGTGTATGCAGTGGAGTAGGAACACGTTACATTACAGTGCTCTGGGGAGAAAATGAGAATCAGGAATGAGAAGAAGAGTGAGGGTGGTAGTTTGCAGGGAGACAGAATTGAGGGGGAAGGATGATAAGGAACAGCCAGTGAAGAGGAGGAAATTGAATGTGTAAGTGAGAACTGAAGGCAGATGTCCCAGTGGAGTGGAAGAAGATGGGATTGGGGACATATGTGAAGAGGTTGGCCTGAGACGGAAGGGAAAGAGCCAGAGATGGATACAGATGTAGGTAAGTTTGTGTGAAGAAGGAAACTAAGTGAATTCATGTCTGATGGTCATTGTAGTCTCCGCAAAGAGGAAGCTGATTTTCAGCCGAGAGTAAGAGAGATAGAGGATGGAAAGCCATTTGGTATGATTTTGAAATTACTTCTATGTGAATAAGAAGAATTTACCAGGGACTAGAATAAGAAGTGCCAAATAGTACTGACACTACCTATAATAGAAAAAGATGTGTCTTCGTGTAGAAGTCAGTCACTTGAAAGCTGTCATGAGTACATCCTTATCTAAAACCCACTAGTAAAAATACTCTAAGAACTAAATTATCAGTAGAACACTATTCTAAAACTGGATTAATGCCAGAGTGGAAGTGAAACGTTTATTTTCAATAGGATAGCTATCAACTGACACCCTCATCTGTACTGTAACAAGTGACTAATATAGATGCCATCAATTTGCTTGATGGACTTCTGGTGCAACAGAGCAAGTGTTGTGTAGGGCACGGTCAATATATGGTTTTATTGTGATGGATTAGGTCAGTCTAAGGCTGCAAGAAGGCCAAGGCATTAATCATGTTTTGTCTTTCTTTTTGCAAATGTTTTGTTAGACTTAGAAATGAGTGTTTTGCCATTTAAAAATATCAAGTTCTGGCCTGATTGAAAAATGAGTCTTTCAAATTATCTAATATTTGTTCTGCCTTTCAGTGAGCTGTCACTTCCATCTTACCACACATTCATCTTCTATGAGTAAGAGGGATTCTTTTAATTCATCTATTTTACACATTATAGGCAAGTATATAGAATTATCTTTTTAAAAAAGTGACCAAAATATCCACAAATTACTGTACAAAAATTTAGTTGAAGGATATTGGAATAAAAAAGAACCACATACTTAATTCCATCAACTTTCAGCACAAAATAAAAGAGGCATGGGGGCGCCTGGGTGGCTCAGTTAAGCTCTGACTCTTGATTTCGGCTCAGGTCATGATCTCAAGGTGTGGGATGGGCCTGCTTCTAGCTCCACGCTCAGTGGGGAGTCTGTTTGAGATTCTCTCTCTCCCTCTGCCTTTGCCCCGGCCCCCGTGCGCGCTCTCTCTCAAATAAATCTTAAAAAAAAAAAAAAAAAAGAGGCATGAAGTCCTGATAAGGTTAAATTAATCTCCCAGTTACTTGAAAGAAATCTGCTCAGGGCAGCATGTAGTACCTCAGTCTGGATTAATACTTACCTCACTCAGTTCCCCTATATGGAGGTGGAAACCAGTTCACTTTTTGCTCAGTCTCAGGAGTTTGGGTTTATTTCATTGTAAATCAGAGTTAATTTAATCTAGGCCCCAATTTTTCTGTGTCTTTCCTGAGAGAACACACATTCCTAAAGTAGTGACCTCCAAACTTTTTTAAACAGTAGAATGCTTTTTCCTAAAGAAATTGTTCATAGAACTCAGAGAAGAGTCCATTGCTAACACCTAGTGTAATGAGCTTAGGGGAAAGGCAGGGCAGGGAGCACTGCATCATGGATCAAAGGGAAGGAACAGGGGTGCCTGGCTGACTCTTGATCTCCCAGTTGTGAGCTTGAGCCTCATGTTGGGCATAGAGATCTTAAAAAAAAGGAAAGGAAACGAGAATGGTACCAGTTTTTGTGATTATTTTTGTGTGTCCCCCAGCCTTGCTTACCCACTGCGCTTCCTTTAATATCTTTTTGTCATTGTCTAAACCATCCCAATGTCTATATTACTTTACAAGTTGTTGCAAAGCAGCCAGTTTTTCAGAGTATGCTCAGGAGAAGCGAATGCTCCTATATCCTTACTCAGAGCTAGGCTTCTACTGGAAACCTCAGTATATAAGAGGTAAGGCGCTAACCCATTTGAAACATGGCCTCATGGTGAGGACCCTGTCCATTTTCCCCCTTGTTTCACCTTCTCCTTCCTGGCCCTGAGGCACCTGTGCAGAATCCTAAGACTCCATGGGACTCTTTAGATGTACCTTTTATAAATAGCTACAACTAGATTTTGGTCTTTTGAATCATAATGAGAGTCTTTGCTTTTTATTGTGGTAATTGCTCCGTTTGGTCTTATTCTTAAAGGTATTTTTTTAGCATTATTTCATAACCTGTCTTTCATGCTCTCTTTTTCGCTAGTGATTTAGAAACCATCATTCTATTTTTCTTTGCTCTTGGTTACCTTGAATTAAGCAAAATATGGTATAAAATATAAGTATGTTTCTTCTTTTCTTCTTTTGCAGCTCCAAATAGATTGGGAGAAAATCAGAGCCAAAATTGAGATGGAAATTACTAAAGAACGAGAGCGATCATCAACCAGCCAGTCCAGCAAGAATATAGGTCTGAGGCACTAAATTTCTTGCTTACCTCAAAGAATTTTTACCTTTTGAAACTAATTCTGATTAATCAAGGATAATCATATTTTCAATGCTAAAAAAAAAAACAGACTCTTTAAGTATAAGCACTTGCTGTGTATTTAAAACTAAAAGTACATTCAGAAAGACTAATCACAAAATAATTGATGTAATTTCATCTTTTATATATTTTAGTCCAATAATTACAAAATATTCCTATATGTTTATTATACACCTATGTAGTATTGCTAACATTCCAGTTTTTTGTCCATTATTTTATCCCTGAATCTTCAGCATGAACAAATATTAATTCTGATAATAAAACATTGGACTCTTTAAAATGTATGTTATCATTAATTTTTATTCAACCTCTAAATTGTAAGATGTTCCAAAAGTTTATTTATATAAGAAAAATACATGAGGGTGGATTTATGAAAATGTGTGTATATATATATATGTGTGTGTGTATATATATATATTTATACATCAATGTTCATAGCAGGATTATGCACAGTAGCAAAAACATGGACAAAAAAGATGTCTATCAACAGATGAATGGATAAACAAAATGTAGTGTAGACATTCAGTGGAATATTATTCAGCCTTTAAAAAGAAGGAAATTCTGACACATGCTACAACATGGATGAACCTTGAAAATATTGTGCTAAGTGAAATAAGCCAGACTATTGTATGATCCCACTTATATGAGGTGCCTACAATAGGGAAGTTCATTGAGACAGAAGAAATAGTGGTTGCCAGGCACTGGAGGGGAGTTGGAAATGGGGCATTATTGTTTAATGAGTACAGAATTCCTGTTTGGGATGAATGAGTTCTGGAAATGGACAGTGGTGATGGTTGCACAGCATTGTGAATATAGTTAATGCCACTGAATCGTACACTTAAAAATGGTTAAAGTGGTAAATTTTGTTATATATATATATCTTACAATTTTTTAGACATATATCTAGGATGGACAAGAAATATTTTCCTCATTCCTCCTTGACTTGAGAATGTTCAGGCGTTAGGTCCTGGAGTCTGAATTTGTGAAAATCTTAAATGATAAACCTTTTTGACTACCTTAATTCAGTATGTCCTAAAATTATTGCCACAAAAGCTTTTGAACATTAACACAAATACTCCTTAGAAAATCCTCCATGAAGTAAATTTTGGAAAGGTAGATTATGGACTGAGTGTATGCGTATGTATTGGAAAGTGACTACCTCTCTCACTCCCATTTTAATGAATATATCTAGATTTCTTTTATGAAAATGTTTCTGTCTTTTTAATGTATTTCTTTTCTTTTTTGGAATGTTGAAATATTCTGTTCTTCATCCAGATGCTGGGTGTAAGAGTGAGTTCAGTTTGTGAAATATGATTGAGCAGTTTACTTATAAGTTGTACTTATTTATATGTTTTACATTATGTTATATTCCAATAAAAAGTTTAAAAAGAAAAATGGTTAAAAGGGTAAATTTTATATTTATTTTACTACAATTTAAAAAGTTAATATAACGAAATATGTCTGCATTCTAACAATTCTGATACCAACAAGGTGTTCTACAATTCAGTTCTGATACTACCCAGAGTTAGCGTCAGGTCCCACGAACTAGAGGACAGGATCCCTAACTAGTTGCTAGCCACATGCGGGGACCCCAGGATAGCCACACTTGTGACTTGGCTGCAGATTTGGGGATTCCTACCATGCCCCCTTTAGGTTTGATAGTTCACTAGAATGACTCACTGAACTCACTGAAATGCTTTACTACAACTACAACTACAATTTCATTATAAACGTGCAACTCAGGAGCAGCCAAGTAGAAGAGATGCATAGAGCAAGGTCCAGGAGAAAGGAGAGGTCTGGGGGGAAAGCGGGGTGGCACAGAGCTTCCATGCGCTCTCTTCATGGAATCCAGGACCATCATTCTCCCCGCACGGTGATGTGCTCACCAACCAGGAAGCTCTCATAGGCCTTGCTGTCCTGAATTTTTTATCAGGGTTTTATTACATGGGTATAATTGATTAAATCACTGGCCACGTGATTGAACTCTTCCTCTCCCTGGAGGTCAGGTGGCTGAGCCCTCCAACCATGTGGTTATTCTGCTGACCAGTCCTCATGCTGAAGCTATCTAACCACCATCACACACACACACACACACACACACACACACACACACACACAGTCACCTCATTAGCACAACAAAGATCCTATCACTAAGGAGATTCAAAGGGTTTTGGAAGCTCTGTACCAGACACCCCCTATACACCTCATCTCAAACCAGATATATTCATTATGTCACAGGTTATCCCCTGGTCTTTGACCATGGGATCTTTTATGGCAAGGTACATACCTGACTGAGCATAAAAGATACAGCAACATTTAGAAGAGTCAATGTGGGGTAAGGATAGGAAGCTATTAATCAATTTCCCAATACATTTGATTATCAATATCAGTATTATCTTTTCAACAATGCCAGTGTGTAATAGCATATCACATTATCATAGACATAACCTGAAAAATAAGAGTCAAAAGATATTGGCACATTACTAGAATCCCATCCAGTCTCTAATAATTAGTCCAATCATCATCATATCCTAGGACCAGAATGTCTCTCAGAGTGAGGGCACTTAGGGTTGCAGGCTTCCTTCCCTTAATCTTGTCAAGTTCCAAAAGCAGGAGTGGTCTCAGCTTCACACTTTCAGGCATCTGGTATAATTGAGCTAAAGGACAATCTCATCTCTTGCTCTGAGCTTCTTGCCAAGCGTTAATATTGGAATTTTCTCATTGCATAACAAATTTATTCATTCCTTTATTTTTAGCCACTATTCCTCCTCTCCATCTATATCCAAACCTTTTCACCTTAGGTTCAGCCACTGTGCTGGTCTAGGTTGCAAGCAACAATACAAGTCTAGCAAGTGCCTCCCCCTTAGTCTACTCCCATTCATGTAGGGTAGGGTTATACACGCACAGACCTAGTGGGCTATTTCCACCCACAGGCGATATAGTTTATGCATTGTTAGCCCCCAAAATTGCCAGATAGAGTGAAAGCACAGCCCACCCATTAGGCCCTTAGGAATTCTGACAAATATTTTAAAACAGTTTGTTGCTTAGGAATCATTCCTTCTTCAAGCACTATAGTTGCAGCCGCGGCCCACGAACCACGGCACCAGGCAGGAAAAAGAAAGTTAAGGTGATGTGGGAAAGGAAAAAAAAGTATAGTTGTTGTACCAGCATCCTCCCCCACCCCTTGACCCCAGATCCAGAACAGTGGGAACACTCTCCTAGCCCCTCATGTTGAGCGTGAGCACACACTCATGAAGGCATGTAAGCCAGCCCTTCTTGTCTCTATCCCCCCCCCCCCACCATTTAGACAACCAATGTTTGATTGCCTGTTCTAATTCTTTACCAAAGTACTGCCCTGAGGAAGATACAGTAGTCCCCCTTTATCTGCGGTGTTCATTTCCACAATTGGAAATTGTGGGCCCATCTGCAGTCTCTAAATCTCTCTTGCTGGCAGACAGAACAGTTCCTGTTGGCATTTCGTGCCTCTGCAGGTGCAAAAAGAATATGTCTAGATTCAACCCCTCTGCATTGTTTCAGTCCACTCGCTTCATTAACCCAGTGGCCACCTCAGGTGAGCACACCTGGGTATCTGCTTGTCAATTCCAATCATCTTCTGATGCTGGAAGGGGGTTCTGATGGGCATTGACATGGCCTACTTGAATGCACCCTTCAGGTTCCCATAGTGATTTCCACAGGGCCGTGCCCCGGAAGGGCACCCTTTTAATAGGCCAGTCTTCCACTGCCTTTCTGCCTGACCATATGGCCGGGCCATTGGCCACTGCCTATGAGTAGGTCAGGGTCCAGACAGAAGGGTAAACAGCATGCAGTGCAGCTCACCGAGCCAATTTGTTTTACCTTTTTCAATCAGAGTGGTGGCCTTCCAACCCAGTGTCGTGTGTTCATGTTGAAACTGCCATCCATAAGCCAAGCCGCTGTTTGTTGGTCTGTTGGGAGCTGTTTACAGGCACTGTCCGAATGATGCTAGAATCCTGCAGCTCCTCACATGGTTCCAGAGTCATTCCTGGGGAAGCGAGTCGACCTGCTCATGAACATGCTGTGTAACTCCGTGCGTTGTCCTGGTGGTGTGTTCCTGCACACACCATTTCTGTTCTATTACAGAACTGCCCTCCTCGTTAGAGCGTTTCTCTGACATCACCCAAGATATCCTTACTTCGTGTTTTTCAGTCAGAGGCAGTTGCAATTAATGTCTGATAGCAAGCTAGTAATTGCTTCTCCAAATGGAAATTGTCTTGTCCAGAGTTCTAGTAGCTGTCACGGGGAGGTGCTCACAGACTTTTGTCATAAGCCCCAGTCTACACTCCATATGTGGCTATTGTGCAGAGGTTTTGTCCATACCAGCACTCTAGCCTCTGTTCTATATTGCATGGGCCTGAGCAATCTTCATTCCCATTTAGCATGTCTAATGACTATGGCTTGAAGGAAGGATTTACATGCCTTCTATTTTACAGTGCTGTTATTTTCCCCAGTCAGACACAATATCCATTCCCATAATTCATTCAGGTAAGAGTCATAACCACTTCACAGAAAGCTTGTTCAAATATATCAGTTTTTGTCCAGACTGTCACCTTCATCCCACCAACTCTTGGATTCCTCTGCCCTCTCCTCTCCATCATTCTCCCAGCATATCAATGTGTTTATCAGCCAGGAAGGCTCTCCCAGTCTCAATGTCCCAGGTTTTGTTGTGGTTGTTACTGTTTTAAATCAGAGTTTTATTACACAGGCACTCTTGATAAAATCACTGGCCTTGGGGCGCCTGGGTGGCTCAGTCGTTAAGTGTCTGCCTTCGGCTCAGGTCATGATCCCAGGGTCCTGGGATAGAGCCCCGCATCGGGCTCCCTGCTCGGCAGGGAGTCTGCTTCTCCCTCTCCCACTCCCCCTGCTTGTGCTCCCTCTCTCGCTGTGTCCCTCTCTGTCAAATAAACAAAATCTTAAAAAAAAAAAAAATCACTGGCCCTGTGATTCATCTCTAGCCTTTGTCTTCTCCCTGGAGGCCAGGTGGCTGAAGGGTCTAGCCCTCTAATCACCTGGCTGCTTTTTCTAGTAACTAGCACCCACCCTGGAGCTACTAAAGGCTCCTAGAGTCACTTTATTAGCATAACACACTCCCATCTCTCAAATTCCAAGGGCTTTGGAAGCTCTGTGCCAAAAACCAGGGACAAAGACCAGAGATACTCTTTATTGTATCACAACATCACTTTCACAGTCATACTGAATGTGTATTTATGTTCTTTTGTCTTACACTTTAAAAAAAAATCTATTATAGAAGCTTCTTGGTTAGTTTAAACTAATAATTTAATACATTTTAGGGGATTTGATCTAATTTAGTGCTTTTTTATGTATATATAAATATTTTGTATATTTCATAACCATCAAATGAAGAAGATTGTTTATACAGAATGCGTGGGGTCTGGCCCCTTTACAGATGAGTGATATTTTGGGGGCATGATGATCCCTCCAAAAATGCTTTGGCACAGAGACTGTGGTACATGGAACATAAGTTATAATAAATGAAATATGGAACATAAGTTACAATAAAAAATAAGCAAGTCTTAAAGCAAACATATTTTAGAAAATGGTTTACTATAGCAAACAGTTACCAGGAGTATCAGTGGAAGAATATCTTCAAATATCTGTCATTTTGTACTTATAGAAAATACATTCATTTCTGAAAACGTATGCTACATAAATCCTGTTTAAATACCTCAAACATATTTTTCTTGTCAATTCTTATACTGAAAAAGATCAGAATTTACAAGGTCTACTGTATAAAAAGGTAATATCCATAATAAAAATATATGGATTTTTTATTTGTTTTGCAGATTTCTTGATCTGCAGATAGAATTGTAGCAAAATCACTTGTCAGATTTCTTTGAACACCATCTGCAGAAGCCGAAGAGAAGGTGATGAAGCAATTCTTTTTTTTAAAGAGACCCATCTTTACCTTCCCCTTGCCCACAGCCTATATATTATCAGTATCTCCTGCTCAGTGGTCAATGACCTTTGGGCCAAAAAATTTATGATTTTCACAGCCTTATATTGCCTGTGACAAAGTCATTTTCTCATTCTGTCTGCTTTCCTCTAAAGCTACTCTGTCCCCACAACTTGGCCTGAGCTGCTGGAGGACATCTCTCTCTGGCCATCATATGCTCACCATGCACTGTGTGTAATTTTTAAAATGTAGTGCTTTCTAACACACATGATTTCAAAACAATTTAGAGCAATTCAACTTTTCAGAGGTTTCTGGATGTTCTAGATGATTGAAAATGCTCTTCTAGTCTAATAACTTCTACTGTAAAGTAACATTCATATTAAAATATTTAATTGGAGAAACACTTTATAATTCTTTGGAAATAAGGCGAGTATAAAGTGGCT